ATCTATCTATCTATCTATCTATCTATCTATCTATCTATCTATCTATCTATCTATCTATCTATCTATCTATCTATCTATCTATCTATCTATTTGAAAGTGCCATAAAACTCTTACTAAAACTAAACCTCTATCTATCTCCCAGTCATTCTTCTCTCTCTCTCTCTATCTGTGGGTGGTTGGCAGGTGCTCCGGTGTGGTTTGCTCCTTGTTTCCTATCAAACATCTTTCGTCCTTATCTCTCCTCCTTCATTTTTGTGTATGTTAATCTTTTATAACACATCTATTCTTCGGCACTTATATGACATTGTTTTGCAAGTGCCGTAAAACTCTTACTCTTACTCTTACTAAAACTCTCTCTCTGTCTGTCTCTATTTCTCTGCCTTTCTCTATCTCTCTTTGTCTAACTCTCTCTTACTCCTGGAGCACTGTGGGTGGTTGGCGGGTGCTCTGGTGTGGTTTGAGTGGTTTGTTCCTTCTATCGTCCTGATCTCTCCTCGTTCTTTTCGTGTTTGTTACTCTCTTGTAACACCTCTAATCTTCAGCACTTACATGACCTCATTGTGTTGCAAGTGCCATAAAACTCTTACTAAAACTAAAAGACCACCAAGGGATCTTTAACGTGCAGAACATGCAGTTGCGAGCGCCGTAAAACCTCTACTAATACTAAAACGTGCACAACTTGCACACGGGACCTCCGAGATTTTTCATCCTGGGGTGTGGCGGAAAGACAGCTGTAAGAAAGAGCCAATAAGGAGTAGCAGTAGAAAGGCTGCAGAAAGAGTCAGGAGCCCAGAGGAGTGGGCAAAGGAGGTTAGGGGGTGGAGGCAGAATGTGGAAACGAAAGCAGATGACAGAACATTGCCATAGAGCTGGAAAAGAGGTGAACGGAGAGAAAATTTTAGAGAAGAACCTTTTTTGGTCGCTACCCGGATTCGAACCCGAGACCTTTGAATGAAAAGCGAACACCTTGACCTCTAGGCCACGAGAGCCCCCTGAAACAGACTTTATGCTGTTGAAGCTAGAGAAGTGAACAGAGTAAGCCTGTTTAGATTTTCCTGTTGACCTTATCATATGCAGTTGTGAGCGCTGTAAAAACTCTGCTAAAACAAAAACTAACTCTCTCTCTCTCTCTGTGTCTCTCTGTCTCTCTGTCTCTTTTTCTCTCTCTCTCTCTCTCTCTCTCTCTCTCTCTCTCTCTCTCTCTCATAGATTCTGCATCATCTGACACATTATCAATTCATCTATGTTAAGAGACGCCCGAGATATGGTCACTCAAAATTGACCTTAAAAAATTAGACTTGGAAAAATTGTACGAAATAAAAGAAATGTAAAATTGCCGCGCGTGTACTGCGGAATACATTAATTATATTGATAGAATTGTCACATATCGCATGTATCCAAAGAATGGAGAATTTTGTAAACAAATATTTTATTGTATTTTTGTACGATAGTTTCAAACAAAATGGAAAACAGCAATCACATTATATCCCTCAAAACTTGGACTTAACATTAAATGTGCTCATTGTTATTTTGCTTAGGAGCCACTGCTTTGGGCATCGACTCTAATAAACTTTTTGTACAAACTTATCTGTTATTCTTCCCAAATGTCACAGAGTTGCAAACAAAGGGTCTGAAGTATGATCAAAGTCGCTTTTCTTCAGCTACTGTTTAATGGGGCTTCACCTATCTGCAAGATTCATATATCGGAGCTATTAACTGGTGACCACTTCAACGCTGATTTGATTTGGCAAGACCCCCCGGGGCTGTGCCACTGACTGTAGTGTCTTTAGGCCATTCCCAAAGGGAATGCTTCGTTAAAGCATAGTAGAATTGTAAATGGGCTGACTCATGTCAGGCTCATAACTGTGCCTGATCTACAACAGGGAACAGCTGCTTTTTCTTTCCTGATCCTTACTATTGTCATTTTCCTCTACTTCTTTTGTATGTTTGTCACTCTCTTGTGACCTGCTATTTCCGGGGTGCCTTGATAGTCGAAGCAGACTTTGTGCTGTTGAAGCTAGAGAGGTGAGCAGTCTAAGTCTGATTCCCTGTAAAGACTTCTCTGTTGACTCCCACCCCTTGGCGCTCATATGACCTTATGCAGTTGCGAGCGCCGTAAAACCCTCTTCTATTTAAAAAAAAATAAATTTGGCAAGAATTGTCTTTAAGCATTGGTCCTGTGAGAAAGTGCTTTGCTATGCATGGAGATGTCTACTTGAATGACACCATGACGAAGATAAGGATAAGACATGACGTTCCAGCACTTGCGCAATGTTGTCCTCTAAACCAAGCCATCTGGTGGTTCTCACGAGGGCCAATTTGTTCATTCCAATCCAGACCACCCAAACAAAACCATGGCAGATTCATGGTCTCTGTTCCTCACTGACAGATTATTATTTTCAAAATCTAACACAGTTGGTAGAAACTTTTGAAAATGTAATCACCCAACCATCATGTTATAGGCTTGCACTTCCCGTTCCTGCAGCATACAAATTGAAAGCTGAATAAATTATGCATCATCTGGCACATTAATATTTCATCTATATTAAGAGATATGGTCACTCAAAATTTACCTTAAAAAATCAAGCTTGGCAAAATTGTGCGAAATCAAAGAAACGCAAAAGTGTGTTCGTGAGAATATTGAAGTTCATCAACATTGATGGAATGAATATGTATTGAATATCAAATGTAAAGAGAATATTATGGTCTCTGCAATGAACAGCATCTTTTGATGATATTTTAAAATGGATTGGAGAATAGAGCAGTTACAAATGTCACACAAAATCTGGACTTAACATAAAATATGTTCATTAGTGTTAATTTTTTTTTTCGGAGCTGTTGGTTTCGTGTTGTTTTTTTTGTGTTAGTTAGATTTAGGACATAATCATCTGTCAGTGGACCAGAGGCCTCGAAACTGCCATAGTTTTGGGTGATCTGGGGTGGAATGAACAAAACCCCCCTCATGAGAATCGCTGGATGGCTTGGTTTCATGGACTACATCGTGCAATTGCTGGAAAGTCATTTCTTACCCTTATTTTCGTCATGGTGTCATTCAAGTCATACATAGCACAGAACTTTCTCTCTGGGCCAATGCCACAAGATAATTCTTTTGAAACCAAATCCAATCAACGTTGCAAGTGGTCGCCAGTAAATCTGTAGCTCCAATATGAATCCAACAATTATGTGAAGAGTGAAGTACATGTACCATGAAACAGCAGCTGAAGAAAAGCAACTTTGCTCCCAACCCAGACCCTTTGTTTGCAACTCTCTAGATCTATACCATTTGGGATGAAATGACGGGATAATTCTGTCCAAAATTTAACAGAGTTGATGCCCAAAGGGTTCGTGCACTACATAAAACTAATGGCTCCTGAGCAAAATAACAATGAGCACATTAAATGTTAAATCCAAGTTTTGCATGGTATTTAAGATTGGTCTGTTTTCCATTCTGTTTGAAACTATAGGGACAAAATATCAAGATCAAATATTTTTTATTGAATTAAAAAATTCTCCGTTCATTGGATTTGTAATGTACGTCCATTCTATCAATATTGATGCTCCTCAATACACTCACGAAGACGATCATGTGTTTCTTTGATTTCTCACAACTTTGCCAAGCTTAATTTTTTAAAGGCCAATTTTGAGTGACCTTATCTAGGGGGTCTGTTAACATAGATGAACTATTAATGTGTCAGATGATGCAGAATTTATTTAGATTAAAATAGGTATGCTGCATGAATAAGTAATGGGAAGCTTTTACATGATGATTGGGTGATTACATTTTCAAGTTTCTTTTGGACGCCTCCTGTATAAAAATGTTTCGTGCTTTACATGAAAACAATAGCTCCAAAACAAAATACTTATGAGCACATGTAATGTTAAATCCACGTTTTGAGTGGTATTTGTGACTGCTCTGTTTTCTAATCTGTTTGAAAATATCATCAGAAGAAGCTGTTCATTACAGAGACAATTACATTCTCTTTTCATTTGATATTCAACACATGTCCATTCCGCCAATGTTGATGTACCTCAATATACGCGCGAACACACTTTTACATTTCTTTGATTTCGCATAATTTTGCCAAGCCTGATTTTTTAAGGTCAATTTTGATTTACCATGTCTCGGGCCTCTCTTAAGATAAATGAAATATTAATGATTCAAATGCTGCAGAATTTATTTAGCTTTAAATTAGTATGCTGCATGAGTGAGTATTGCAAGACTATAACACGATGATTGTGTGTTTACATTTTCAAGTTTCTTTTGAACGCCACTATAATAAAAGTATCCTACTACTGGAAAAACAGAATTTGCATGTCCTATGTTATGTTGTTTCAGACAATGGTCATTGACAGCCGGTCGTTTCTAGAGTACAATACCAGCAACATCCAGCAGTCTGTGAATGTGTGTTGCTCCAAGCTAGTCAAACGACGGCTCCAGCAGGACAAGGTTAGCCAATGGTTATATTACTTCATTTTGTTATTTGTTGTCATTGTATCATTTACGCACCCTCCATTGCATTTGTATGTTATTGGGGATGGCAGGTTAGAGTAAAGAAGAGAGATAGAAGGCAGCAATGTAAACATCAGACATTCCAATACAAGGTGATCCCCCAAACAATTCCACACTGAAGTTTTGCGTTGCAAATTTGTGCACAACTTTTGGAAATCAAAGGAATTTGTATGATATTCATTTTAGATAATTCCCCAGAATAGTTTTGCTCTTCCTAGAGCTTTAAAAAAACCCTACCCATTTTTGTATCATGATGCACTAGTTCGCCTTAGGCCTACCTTTAAAAGTGCCAACTGCAACATTGGTCTAAAAAGCCAAAAGAAGTATGCTGATAGTTTTTATCAAGTTTCCTTTGCATGCTGAGATCATGGTTATAATAACTAATGAGCAGAGAGCTTTTGTGTAGAACAGTTCTTCACCGCGAACTCATTTCGTAAGTTTCGCTTAAGGTATTGTAGCAATATAGAGTGCCCTAATTCCTTCTTGGATGTCAAGGGTGGAAATTCCTCTTGCGAATCAGAACAAAAAATTCCCTAACAAAACGACCACTTCAGATCAAACACACTCTGTTCGCATCCTTTTAAACCTCACCAGGGTGCAGAATTCGGAAGATGAGCCCCATGAGACGTCTGTCCGTAGACAATGTCTGCAGCAAGGACTTTTCTACATCTCAACGGTCATTTTCAAGGCAGATCTTCATCTATAACATACCCTTTTCCTTTTCGCGAAGCTGACATGAATCAGAGGATAGCAATGTGTTCATGATTCCTCGATTGTCTGGAAAATTGTGAACATTCCTCTATGACATTTGGTAACTTGGCAGTACCCATATTCACAGTTTAGGATATGTTAACTCTACAAATGCCTATTTGGGCAACCTCACCCGCCACCCTATTGTCTCTAGAAGTAACTCCATACTGTATGGTGTACAGTGTGTGTAGCTTTGAGTACTCATGATTGGGTGGATCTTTGTGTTTGGCTACCACAAAACATTACGAATGACGCGTTAAAATGTGACGAGTCCATGGGAGGACATATAGAGCACTTGTTCTCGGAATTTCAGAATAAAAAGAAAAATGTTCTAAAACTGGTAGAGAAAAGAAATAGTATTATTTCAATGTTACAGGGACGGAAAGATTAAATTTGAAAAAAATAATGAAGGAAAAAAACCCAAACTATCATTTCATGACTCTCCTGAAATTACAAGATCTTTTAATTGATTCATTTTTCGTTTATAGGTGGTTTAAGTAAAAGCCATTTTCGTTTTCGAATACTAGTTTCTTCTTTATGAATTTTATGTCAAATAAATTCCTTTTGAATGAATTGTATCTGTTCCAAATTACAACATTTTAGTACAAATTTTGCGAGATATTCAGAAAAAAAGCTGTAGGACAGTCGTTTTTTTTTTTTATCCCCCTGTTTGTGAATCTGGGTGAAGGTGTTCTTTCGTGTTATTCTATATTTCTATGAAGAGGTTTCCCGGCATCTGTGGTGCAGTGATTAGGCGTTTCATCATCACAAGCAGAAGTAGTGAGTTCAGTTCCTTTGTTGGGACATTTTTTAATAAAATCCCTCCATCCGTCTCCTGGAACATTGTTTCCCTCTCAGCCTGGTTTGGTCCTGACAGACAGGGTCGGAGCCGCCCTGTGGTCTTAATAGTGTCAGTGGGGATGTATGACATTTACAATTGTGTTGGATTGTTGTGACATCAGGCGCTCATCAGAATAATAAAATAAAAGGAGCTGACATTTCCCACCTGTTGGGCAATCTTTATCGAATTTTTTGTTTTGGGGCTAACACCTTTTGTGTCCATTTACAGCACATTCCTGCTTGAAATTTACTGAGAAACTTTAATGTTCTTTCTGTCAGGTTCATATTCTGGATCTCCTGCACCAGACTTGCAATATTGGTGCTGACGTTTCATGGGATGTGATTGTCTATGACCAATGTACAGAAGACCCATCTCAGCTGACAGCAGATAACTTTGTACAGGTGTTGCTACGCAAGCTTAGCACAACATTCAATAGTGTGGCCTTCCTTAAAGGTATGGACCTCTGATTTGTCCACCAAAATTTAGACTTTAAGTTTTTCCACTGTGGTGTTGAAAGAATTGGAAATTAGATGTCGAGTGGAGTACTGTATTTACAGAGTTCCTCTTTTGAAGATTAAGTTTTTTTTCTGAGCTAGACATTAATTTCAGACTAAAATTTATGGTGATTCAGATGCAGTACAGTCCTTTTCTTTGAGTATTCTCTTAGTTAAACAGAATGTTTATACTATAATCTCAGATGACCTCAGAAAACCGGTTGACCAAGTTTTATAAAGACCCGATTTTAAAAGAATAATTTTTTTTAAAAATCAAAGGACCCTCAGTTTGGCCGATTTTTGGTCAATCTATGCAAATTGAGATGTTGGCGGATTTTTGAAGATCAACCAGTTCTTTGTCTAAAAATAGCAAGGAGACAAATGAAAAAGTCTTTATTCTCCTCGTAAATTGCATTTGAAAACATGAGGGTGTGTTAAAATAAAGTGAATTTTCTCAATAATTGTCGTTTTTCTCAAAATGTCATTTATTAAAGTTTTTCCCTACTCCTTCCTTAGTTTTCATCCTTTTGACTTGAAACTTTCAGGAAACATAGATGGCAAGTCTACCATCAATGTAATAGAGAGATATTTGGGAAAAAAATAACACTGTTCCATTGGCAAGCGATTACACAACCTAAATTTAGAAAAGGTTTTTTACACATTAGGAAAATTCTCATTTTTTTTCTTTTGCGCTTATTGAAAAAAACTTGCTGTTTCAATGATAGGGACTGGTTCAGGTTAACTTTCACAAAATTTGGTCAAATTTGGTCTGTAAATAAGAAAGCCTTAGGGATTTGAATTTCATTGGGTTTTTTTCAAGATGACAGCCGTTTCCATAGCAACTGTGTAGCTATACCGAAATTAAAATTGCGTTTCAAGAGATTTTCCTATGCCTAACTTATATATTTACTTAGATTTGATCTCGGGCAACAAACATAGAAAATGATCCTCAAGGGTTGCTCCTCCCGTTAATGTAAGTTTTTGCGCCTCCACGGACACAATTTTTTTGACTAAGTGCTACACCATTGACACACTAGTTTAAAGACTGAGGCTGTTTTGTTCATGTGAGTCGTCAGTACATCTCTGTGTCAAAAGAGCTGGTACTAAAATGGTTGCTATATTGGAAAAGAGGAATTTTCATTAAGTAAAATTTAATATCTTGTCAAAGGATACTTGAAAAACAAATTCAGTTGAATTCAATTTTCTGTTGAAGAAATTGACATTTCGTTGTCAAACATTCAGTAAACTCCTGTAATCCCACTTGTCTTCTCCTTCCAATGAGTTTAATTACAAGACGTCTCATATTTATCTGAGATGATTAACTAACCCAACTCTAACGCCGACAGTATTGGTATGGGAAATTTCGTTCTTGTGACCAAAAACACTACTTTTGTGTGAAGCAGACTCTAGCCTAATTGGAAGAGTAACCATTTTTCATTTGAAACAGACTATGACTAAAAGTGCAAGCCCAAATTTAGAACAAAGAAAGCTATATTTGTGAACCATGTGAGGGGTGCGAAATTTGAACGCACTTCCTTTCTTCGCTTTTTATTTACTTTTTGACTCTGTATCTAGCCCTTTTTTTCCGTGGAATATTGCATAAAAACTATGACATGTTTTGTCTTCAAATTTTCCTTACACACAAATAAAGGTTTGAACAAAATGTATACGAAATTTGGGCAAGATATGTTAAAATGGAGTATTTTTTCAATTTTTCAAAAAGTGGTAAAAATTTCTAGGGAGAGCTGACGACCCGAAAGTGTAGGCCTATGGTTGAGTTAGTTAATGCACTTGTCCTTTTCATTCATTCACTCTTGTAGGTGGTTTCCTGGCATTCCAAGCTTCTCACTCCAGCCTGATTGACCACAAGTCGAGTACATACAGATGTTCTACCTTGACGTCACTGTCACAACCATGTATGCCAGTCAGCAATGTGGGACCAACTCGGATTCTACCATTTCTCTACCTGGGCAGCCAGCAGGATTCACTGAACCAGGAGTTGGCACAGGTTGGACTCAAGCACATGCCTTTACCCTTTGCTTTTATTTTGTTCTGATCTTGGTTATTTTCATGAGTAAAATTGTTTGGGGGGTTTTATGTGTAAGGGGAATATAACATTTCTGATTTAAAATAATCTCAGGGTTTTTTTTTTCCTTAATAGATCCGAATATCGTAAATGGATGCCTACGAAGGATAGTGGGGATCAAGTGGTACGATCGAGTCACTAATGCTGAACTGTGGGAGAGAACAAGCCAAAGGCCAATAAAGGAAGACATACAGGTGTGGAAATGGATTGGACACACCCTGAGGAGACCCCCGTCAAGCATCATCAGGCAGGCTTTAACGTGGAACCCACAAGGAAAACGAAAGAAGGGAAGACCAAAGATGACATGGAGACGAGCGGTACAAGCTGAAATTGAAAAAGCGGGGACATCATGGAAACAGAAAAGGACGCTCAGGACAGGCTTCGCTAGAGTAATGCTGTTGATGGCCTGTGCTCCACTGGGAGTTAAAAAGGGCAAGAGAGAGAGATCTGAATACAGTTGAACCTGTGTAAGACGGAATCGCAAGGGAACCAGAAAAAAATTCCGTCTTAGACAGGGGAATTTAGGCGGAGATGGAGGGGGGGGGGGGGATCAAAGGCCCAGCCTGTGGGATCAAGGATCGCTTGTCCGATTGGCAAGCAGTGGCCAAAACTTCACACCTCTCAGCTGCTATCGGTCTGGTAATGACATGCGTCACTCTTACTTGAATGGAAAGTCCATGGTTAGTCAAGCAAGCCCATATGTGCCATCAGTTTTCATTTGATAGTGTTGACATTTTTATTTTATGGGACCAGCAATCACACTTTAGTGGGATTTCCCTGTGTATCAACTTATTTTTCTTTACTGGTTCATGACACTTGAAAGTGATATTCACTGATTGGGTAATTGGCGAAGGAAATTATGATAATATTGCCGTGACAAGGCAGAGCGACGTATCTGCACTTTTTATAATTTTGAGTTACGTCGTGCTGCAGTTGGAAATATGGGCATGGCCCTTCAGTTACGTCTGTTTGCTGCAGTAAAAATATCCTATTTGTAGTGCAGATACGTCTTCCTGCATTTGACGCAAGATGCGGAATGGGTATAGGCGTCCATTTAAACGAAGATGAAAAAATTAATAATTTTTACAGATACGTTGGTGTGCCTTGGCATGGCAGAATATATGTCTTAACTTTAATTCCTTTACATCATGTGTTTTTTAAATCGTTACATTGCTTTTCTCTTCGAGCAGGTCAATGGTATCAGTTACATTCTCAATGTAAGCAAGACCTGTCCACGACCCCCCTACATCTTAGAGGGACATTTTCATCGTATTCCTGTCAATGATAATTACTGCGAAAAACTGTTGCCATATTTTCAAGAAGCATTTCAGTTTTTGGGTAAGTACTTCAATAGTTTTAAGAGGGTTGTAGAAGTTGTCTAATGTCTCAAAAACTTAAAATGTTAAAAACCTCTCAATTTCAGTCCTCAAAATCTTTTCCTTGACTTCGTATGAAGATTTTCAGTCCACCTCCCCCCCCTAAATTAATTTTTGAAGGCACAACTGTAGTTAGCTTCTGGCATGCTTTGCAACTCTGAATTGACAGCTCTTGCAGGGCCCAAAATGCGTTCAAATTTTCGTTCAGCGAGCATATCTTTTAGAACTAGTGCTTCCAATCTTCCGTAATTTTAAGGAAATCCGTACTGGCTCCCTCATAATTATCAACTCCATCCGTCAAAAAGGCGGATTGTGCACATGAATATCTAGAACATGTAGTAAACAAAGCGAAGTTTTGCGCATCCAAATCCTTTCCTGTTTTTGGAGAGCAAATTTGTAAAATTGTATCGCCTATTTCTGCCCTGCGAAAACCTAGATCTAATGTCTTGAAAATTCTTGCTCAAGGTGGTAGTGAATTTGTTTTGAAGACATAATATAAACACTTTGAAGCTGTTCTTTTATCTCAGCTGCTGTTTAACTCTTTTACTACTGGGCCTTTTCACCAGTCACAAGCATTGAAGACTGGCTTTTTTTTTTTTGTATTTCTATAAACCACCACAACTCTCAGAATTACCCCATAGTAATTGTTTTTTTGACACAGTAAAGTAACATTCAAGCTTAATTTAATACAAAAAACTAAAGTTGTCTAAGTCTAATACTTTAATTTGTATGATTTTTAAAAAATTGGCATAAATTTGATTTTTGGAAAAATTTCCAGAGACGTGACAGGTAGAATGAAATTCACAATAACAACAAAAATAAAAGTTCAAAGTGTTCTGTTTTGATTTGTATGCATGTGTGAGTGTTTGTTGAAAATATAAAAGCTGGTCTGTGCGTTGATTCATGAATTACATGAGCACGTGATGTACGGCACGACTTTGTGATTTCGTTGTGCGAACAACACCGCCAGTACTTGTGCTAGATCTAGCCCTAAAACTACGACTTGGGCCGTGTTCGCGTACATATCCTGGATCCTAACTATCAGACGCATCATATTCTGAGACACTAGAACTAGTAAAAGGTACAGAAGTATCGAAAACGGCGAAATTGTGTGATTCTTGTTCTTGCGACTTCTTCGACCGTTACTACGCCGCGACTGTCGGATTACAATCAGCTGTATTGGAAAAAAACAGCGCGATTTCCGGTCAGTTCAACCCCAGTTGGGGTGACTGTCCTACACCTTCAATAACTTAAAAACTACTGGCCCCAGAGATATGAAACGAAGTAGCTAGGGCTGGCCAAAAAAGGGCTCGAGGCGTGTCGCGCGATCTGTGCGTGATTTGTATAGCGAAAAAAAATAATTCCAAAGTTGATCACACAGGGCTTGTGGCAACCGTTGCGAGCGTCGCGGCGAGGATCACGCTACTGTTGGGAGAATCGTCTGAAGTGAGTTAAAGTTGGTTTGTAAGTAGCGAATGTGTTGTCAGGTCGTCTCGAAGGGTAGATATATCTATTTGAAACAGAAACAAAGGGGAAACTTTTAAGCCGTTTTTCTCAAAACTTTGTTTCCATACCCTGCCTTACAAAATCACCCATATCTCAAAAACTACTAAAGATATCTTTAAAATTCAAAAAGCTTATAGCTCAGAAATGATCTCTGTACATGAAAATGCGGGATTGTTCAAAATGCGTCATTTGGTACCTTTCACCAAGCACACACACGTATATCGATGCCGAATTAAGTAGTTGACTCACCTCGAGTTGTGTTTGATCTTTGCCCCCACTCTTTGGTTGTGATGTTATCAACTATTCTCTACTACTAAGATGTTTCAATTGCCCTATGTCGTGTCCTAGCAAGACTTGAGAGCGACTTTGTCTTAGCACGTGATGGCCCGTGATACGAGTATAAACAAACTTTCCAGTGCTGAATTGAATTTTGTGAGGGAGAAAAGAGAGGGGGGGGGGGGAGGAAAGAAAGAGAGAAAGTGAGAGAGAGAGAGAGAGAGAGAGACAGAGAGAGAGAGAGAGAGATTGAATTCGTTCGCCTAGAATATTCGCAGAAATTTCCACGGGCCAGTAGCGTCAGGCTAAGCGACCTAATTCATTCATGTAGCAAAAGGCTAGCCACCCCTGATCGGGCAGCTAGCGACTCCCCTTTTTAAAAAATTTATGTGGTCTAAATAAGGTCACTCCATTTAAAAACACAAAACTGTATAAGTACATGGACTGAGATATACTTCTTGTATACGGAATATTTAAAAAATGACAGCCAATACATTCATTCTTAGTTTTTGTGCCAGACATGTACGCAAGTACCTATGAATGTAAAGAAATCAAATTGTCATAGAGCAGTGTCATCGGAAAGCTAAATACTATTCTGAAAACCCTGTTACTACAAGTTACCCTTGTTCTTCCGTCAACTTACAAAACGACGAAATGTTTAAAGAAAAGTGAGGAATTTCTTGAATGTAACAGTCTAGCGGTGGGTATGATGAATTCAGTTTTTATAGCTTTACCTAAATCACCAGGTGCCACTGAGTGTGATATGCATAGAACAATTATTAGCCTTATGAGTCATTTTACAAAAATGTTGCTGTGAGTACTAATGGGAAGATTGAGAAAAAGTCGAAGACCAGAGATATCTAAATCACAATTCGGCTCTGTTCCTGACAAGGGCCCCAGAAATGCTATTTGCACCTTAACAATGTTAATGGAAAGATGTATTGAAGCACAGACAGATCTGTATTTATGCTTCTTAGATTATTGGCATTCGATAACGTTAGTCAAGATGAGCTATTTAAAATACAGGAAAAGATCAGGGAAATGTGGTTTTTTTAAGAGCATCCGAGCAAAGGAATGAGTGGAGAACCATGATTGCAGCAAATTTTGCACTGAATGAACAGTCTCCTAGTATTATATTGCAGGTGTATTCTGGCACTTAAATAGATCTGTACTTCAGGGGTCATTTTCATGGGAATTTGTGCTAAACAAACACTATTATTTTATGTGCTGTGAAGAGCAACTACTGCAAATATAGTTCTAAGTGGGATTATGGGATGCATTCTGTTTCTAATATTTTCCTCAACCATGTTTTGTTTTCCATGAAAGTCAAATGCTTTGTTGTTGGTTCTTGTATATATGTTTGATGTACGGTATTAAGAATAACTTTCCTCATAAAATAGAATCTATGTTATCTAAAAGTCTTTCTGTATTTGTTTATAGGGAGCTAATATCTTGGTGTCTAAGTGATGTGTTTCCCTCAGCGTGGTCATGAGGTGACAGTTCAAAATTTGTACCTTTTGACATTTCCTGAATGGTATGGGGGGATATTGTGATTGGAAGATGTTGTATGCCATTTCCATATTGCTTTTCTCTTTACCTTTCAGATAAGGTTCGAGAGGCCAATGGCTGTGTGCTTGTCCACTGTTTGGGGGGCGTGTCTCGCTCAGCCACCCTGGCCATCGCATATATCATGAAACACATGAGAATGTCCTCAGATGAAGCTTACCGGTTAGTATATTGATATCACTTGTATGCTCACTGTCTTGCAGTTATTCTTCCACTGTCCCTCCAAAATACCCCTTCCATATATGTACAGATAGGGCTATGATGTATCTAACATTTTAAAAAGTATGTTAGTATTGATGCTACGGTGCATTTGGCTTTCAAAGGATATTAGTTTGATTCTATCATTCAGATATGATTATTTTATAGGTTATCACTCTCTTGCTATTTGGATGTGTTCTTCACAGTCTGGGTTGACCCTGACAGGTACAGTCGAAGCAGGAATTGGCCTCCTCTTGCCTAATGCCCTTCTATTTATTATAACGTTTGGCTTAATTTACTTTACCGCAACTATCATATTCATAGTTTGATTCATTGTGAAAAGACACTCTCCAACTGGTTTTGAGCAGAGACCAATATTTACACCTCAGTGATGTGATGTCGACACCTCTACCTGCATCTCCCCATATCATTAATCATGTGTTTTAAAAAGTATGACTTACTGGCTCTATAACTGTTGCCAACAAACATTGCAGATTTTTCATTGAAATCAAAGTCAATTACATCATTTACGAATGTAATTAATAGTTTTCAACTGCTATTTTCGAACGATTCAAGGTCCCTTCTTTAACATCTCGGGGATGGGGGTTCTGACCAAGTGGGCCTTCTCTGAGCTCCAATGTGGCCTAGTTGGCCGAAAAGGTTGCCAACATCTGTTCTAAATGATCCAAGTTGTGTTATCAGATGTATGAAACTATAACATTCAGTCATTCTAACTTGAACTCCTCCCAAGTATTAGTATCAGTGAGAGATGGGACCCTTTCTTATTCTCTCTTTGTCATGTAAAGTGTCCTCAGCTTTTTAACTGAAGTCAGTCGTCTTAGGCACCACTTTTAACACTTTCAGGGGTCTATTATTTCTGAATTCCACTTGCCCTCAGCAGCGGATAAGTTTCGCCTCCGCTAAACTGACTGAAGGATGTATCAGAAAAACAGTCTTAAAACATATCCCATTTGAAGCTAGAAACTTGCGTCATACATCACAACCACCACAAATGAATGAAGAATGAAAAAATACGTGTGTCATGGCAACATGAACAGTGGAATCAGGCACTCGTCAATTTTTGGGCATGTAGAGTTATTGGTGTCATCTTAAAGTGTGCTCATTTGTCTTGATTTGGATGAAAATATTATCCGTTTATCTTGAATACACGTCAAGATATTTGCAAAGGAAGGAAGTGGGGGGTCTCCTTGTTTCAGAAAAAAAAATTAGTGAGAAAATACCTGCCAAAGACGAGTTATTTCCTTAGCTTGAGAGTCCGTGGAAACTGAAAAATTATTTTTTCTTGTGCCTTTTAATCAGTTTTTCAGTAAAATACACACAGAAATGTGTTCTTTAATGGGCATGAAAGGTGTTATTAAGCCAAAGAAACAAAAATTCAATTAGAATTCACAAATGTGGAAAAATGCTAGTTTCTGCCTTATGATTATTTTGACCAGCGCCTGATTTCACCACGCCGCCTCACATATATATTAAGACTTGGAAATAAATGTTCTATTCACATTTATTTCTGTGTTTGTTTCGTTTGGGTGCTTTTGTCAGTGTGTTCAGTTCATAGTTTGTTGATGTGGGTGGTTTGTTGGTGCTTTGGTGTGGTTTGCTTCTTCTTTCCTGTCGAACATCTATCGTCTTTATCGCCCCGCCTTCTTTTTTGTGTTTGTGTTTGTTACTTTCTTGTAACACCTCTAATCTTCTGCACTTATATGACCTTATTGTGTTGCAAGTGCTGTAAAACACTTACTAAAACAAAGTTTGTTGACACATATTATGTGATAAGCTGTGAAATTTGGAGGATGATAATGTGTAGATGTGTCACAACTAGAACATTTATTTCTCCCTCTGTATCATTGATATCGTCTTCATTCAGATTGTCAAAAAGATTCCCTACGTTTTGATTCGATTAGGTTCTCGTAATAAAGTTAGATCTAATGGGAGCTGCCGTTTTGATCGCCCACTAATGTAAATAAATGGAGTCTGGATTTTCATTCATAAAAATGCTTAGAATTCAGAGTTTCCCTCTTGGGGCGAAAAATAATAAAGGAAACAACTTTTCTTTCATTTTGTAGCAGTCTATGATGTACAGGAAGCACAAGAACTTTGTGGTGAATTGGAAAACTTTCTACCCTGTAAAAAACGACAATAGTTATGGGGACCAACACAGACGTCACGACTTTAGTGGAGACGAATTTGTTGTCAGTTGACACCTTGCTGTCAGAAATAGTCTCAAAGCTAATGGCTATTGATTTTTTAAATTGTAAGCAAATTAAGTTTTTTTTTTTTATGTTATGTTTTTTTTCTCTATTTTTCACCGTATTGGGGACACTTCATGTATATTCGGTTATATACTTGGTAAATATATTGAAAAATTGATTTTACCCCTAGGTTCCCTCATAGCTGTTTTTATTGTTTATTGTAGGGTTGTTCCATTGTTTTTTTCTGCTTTTTCTTTTCAAATTTCTAGTAATTTTCTTTAATATTGACTTTTATTACATTTTTCAGGTATGTTAAAGACAAACGGCCAACCATTTCTCCCAATTTCAATTTCTTGGGGCAGCTACTGGAGTTTGAAAAGCTCATTCGTAAAGAAGAACAGGAGGAGGTTGCCCGTCGAGAGGCCCTGCGAGTACTTAAAGGCGCTGAGGACTACAGTTTGTCCTGTGAACAGGACAAGGCGAGCCCTGTCATGATGGACCTCCACACTACCAGCCCCTCATCTCCTGGCCCTCGTTCTTCCAGCAAATCTTTTGTCCTAGAGTCTCTTACCTCAACAGCTTTTTCATCACCATTACAGACACTGTCATTTAAGTTGCCTGAGAACAGAAGCAGCTTAAATGCAATGCGCAATCCATCAGCTTCTGCTGACAACTTTAAATCATTGGACGTGCGTAAGAAGCAGACAGATCTGGGTTTTTCCTTGCACAAACAGGCCCATACTGCATTTGACTCTTCTCCATTCCCTCGACCAATATCGGAGTTGTACCCTGTGTCAGGACCAGCATCATTGGAAGACTGTCCGTTTCCTGGTCCCTCTTCACTGATTGGCTGGCCTGAACTTAGGTCAGCATGTGTCAGTCAGGGTCCCAGTAGCAGAAGCAGCAGCAACAACACCACAGTCTCATCTCTCCAAACCTCCATCAGGCAGTGTGGGGTTGTGCAACCTTTCTGTGATAGCCTGACCCATGCTAGTAGCACAGCCAGCACCACCCTGGTGGAGTCCCCTGTGTGCGCCCTCACAGGCTTCCCCAGCCCGGCCGGTGCATACCAGGACTCCCCTGAGTCCACTTGTCCAAGAACGGGTTTCCCCAGACCTGGCCACCATGGCAGCATTGACTCTAATTCAAATCGGATTACTCAAATCTGTATGGACAGCACATGCAGCAGCATTTCACCAAGGTACACTTCTTTGGAAGAGGAGAAACTCATCCATGAAAAGTCTACATATCAGCATAATACTGGCCCTGACACTGCAACGATGGCACCTCCTCCTCCTATTGACAAGCTTAACACCACCACGTCACTTCTCGTGCAGTCAAAGAGGCCGGGTACTTCACAGCTTGGGGCTCGTCAGACCATTCAGAAGTCAAAACACAGTTTCAGTTTTACATCCATGCTCTCCAGCTTCCGACGCAAGCCTCGCCCCCCAACACTACAGCTCGGCTCCCCAGTTGGTCACAGCACAGAGTTGTTGCGAGCTGCTGCTGGGGAGGCTAGGACTCAGCTGACTCCCGTGTCGGAGGCAATGGAAAATTGTGATCTCAGTGTGCCAGAGGATGAATCCACAGGCGTGGATCAGAGGGTGTGTGTCGGGGTTGACCCGGAGTCCAGAATGGAGCTGCAAGATTCAAACAGTGTTGTGTTTACGGGAGTGTCTGATTGCAGCCTTTCCAATGCAACTAGTATGACAATGGCATCTACTCAAATTAATTTATATTCATCTCTGTCATCATCATTGCCATCAAAAGACAGTTCATTGCATGTACAAAATACCATGCTTCAGACAATGTCACTAAAATTAGACCAAAAACATTGTGTTTCAACTGTATCCTCCGTCACAGTTAGTGATGCTCAGATGGCTGCATATCCAATTTCATCCTCGCCATCTGTTCTCTCATCAGGGGATTCCAATAAAAGAAAAGGAGGTGGATTTCTGTCCAGCTTTATCAGCCCTGACAAGCTGGCCAAGACGGAGTCTTCTTTTCATCACGGGCCAATGGAGACAGGGGACAGCAAACTTTCCCCTCCGAGGACCCTCAATTTAGCCCCGAGCCCTGTAAACCGGCTGCGGTTACATAGTACAGCAAAGAAACCTTCAGGCCTGACGTTATCATCACCTACCACAGCCATGGCCAGGCTGAACTTTAAGTCTCCTTCAGATGCCTCAAAAGACTTTTGCAGTTCTGTGGCAGCAGCACAGAGCGAGGGCAGGTCCCCAGTCACGGCCCATGCTACCAACAGCAGACTTGATTTGGAGGAATCTGTTAAAATCTGTGGTAGTCAGAGAGAGTTTAAGCTGTCATCCTTCCTCACTTGCAGTGAGCAGCTGATTGTAGGAGAAAAACAGCAGGGTCTTGGGGCAGGATCGGATAATGCAGGATCTACCACCAATGTTGCAGCAACTTCTTCTGAACCTCCAGATAAGCAGCAGTTCAATACCTCATCATATCCACCAGCTCCTCCCGGAGATAGATCTCTGTTGTCATGTTCATCCTCATCATCAGGATCATCGACGTCTCACCCAGAATGGTCATCAATGTCCAAATCATCTTCAGCATCAGCCTCCACATGGGCCACGTCCTCATCCAGCCACAGTGAGATGAGCAGTAGCAGCAGCATTTCATCCTCCACATCGTCTTCGAGGAACTTCAGAGGTCTCGGTGACTTTCCTACCACCTCACTAGATAAACTAAATTTCACTCCCTGTTCAGTGCGTGATATAGTACAGGAACTGAAGAATGAGGAGCTGTCTCTCCAGACTGCAGGATATTCGCACTCCTCACAAACTGGGGACAGTCAGTCAGCTTCTTCTGCCCTTGATTCTCCCATGTCTATAAGCAGTGGTAGTTCAGCGCCAAGTATTGCCAGTTCAACTTTGTCCCCAGTAGAGTCAGGCATGGCCAACCCGTTCTCTGATGCAGTCACTCAGGGTTCTTCACAAGGCCTCTCTGCCTCGTCCATGCCCTCTGCTTTCCACTTCTCTCCGGTTGATAACCTTGAGCCCCCTTCTCCAAACACCAGCTTTACACTGGATGGCCACAGCGGCCTTAATGCTCGTGATAATCAGTTGAATGCACAGGGTAACACACAACAGTGTATACTGTCACCAGATTCGGCCTCGGGTTATGCCCTCTCATCGACCTCCCTCCCTCAGGCAAGTGTGTCTCCCAAGATGCCAACAGTCTCCTCCCCGCTCTACAGCAGCTGCTCCTCCATGGAGCCCTTGTCCCCTATGTCCCTCAGTGATAGTGCCTCCAGCTCTCCCATCAGATCTCCAACTTCCAATGGAATATCTTCCTTGTCCCTATCTACAGTGTATTCACCCATCCCAGTCTCTTCCCCTCTGGCAGTGTCTTCTTCCTTCCCATCCTCTGTGATTGCCCCAGCAGCATCCCTCCACTCCCACATCCAAAATATGTCCTCACCCCTTGCCACAAACCCTTCTCTAAGTACTCCGGCAGCAGCAAGCACCAAAGTTGTCCGAAGAAGAGACAGCCGCAGCAGAAGAGAAATGGCACGACCCAATTCTATCGCCTATTCCTCCTACCCAACCTGTGACCTGGTCTGTGAATCTGGCGACTCCAATACAGTGGCCATTAGTAGCCATGACGACGCTAGCGAGGTTTACATGTCTGTCACTGGAAAAAAGTCCAAGCTGGCTGCACTCACACCAGAATCTCAGCTACCAAGCGGTCGCACTTCGTGGGGAGGCTACTCAGAACGGGAGGTGTATCGTCAGATCTCAGCAGCCATGGAGAGTGCCATGTTGCGCACAAGGGCCTACACATCGGGGGCCCCGTCGGCCAGCAGCAGCAGGTTGGCCCAGTCCAGGGTTTCCTCTAGAAAGGCTCGCAGCTTGGATGATATTCTAGACAGCAGCACAAATGCTGATGAGCTCCAGCACAAGCATCGCGGAGGAGGCCGCTATCACAGAGCTGCTTGCGGAGAGCAGCTGTTTGAGCCATATCGATGTGGGCTGCGCAGTGGCTCTGAACCATATCAGTCTAGTTCGAGCCTCTCCTCCAATGGGAGCCATGGCTCCATCCACAACAGTTTGGAGATCATTCAGGTATCTTGAAGATTCAGCCCTCCCCCTTCCCTTTTTTTACACTTTTTATTTTCATCATGCTTCTACATATGTCACTTTTTTAGTTGCTGTTTTGTGATTGTGTTAATGGCATGTTGTTTGCTGTAAAGATTGATTTTTTTGCTTCTTTTTTTTTCAGTACGACCTGTACAGGAAGATTAATTTTGTACGAGTCTGCACTGGTTTCAACCCCTGTTTGTTTTAAATATTATATATTTTGAGTGTCTCCTTGTAGTGGCTTTAGTACAATCAAACCCCGTTATGCTGCCTACTTTGGGAAGAGCACGAAGTTGGTGGTATTGTGGGCCTGGTGGTATAGCGGGGTCCTCTGTTAAATAGGTCAGATTACCAAGGGAAATAAATCTGAGATAACTAGATGAACGACAAACTCGTAAAGAGAGGCTTTTACTACTTGTGCCACACTGCAGAGAAATGGCGAGGAAGTTGCTGTTGTGGCTTTGACGGCCTTTCTTTAAAATATTAGCAAATGTCTTGGATATCCCCTGAGCGGTCAAGCATAGCAGAGACAAATAATGTGTCCAATTTTGTCTCATCTAGACACCTTGTGCGATTGCTTTGAGCAGGGGTAAAAGCCACCATTGCTTGTCCACTTTCGTCTGTCAGCTAAAAAAAACCTAGCTCGTTTATTAATTTGCCAATGCGCCCGCAAGTTCTGCGCCACTCTTCTGCAGGTCAGTGTATAAAAAATGTTATTAAAAAAAATCTTTTTCCAGTAAATTTTAAAAAATTTATTTACTTTGGCCCTATAAAATACTACCCTTAGGGTGCATACACAGAATCACAATAGCTTACTCACTTCCGTCTGATTGCGGTTGAAAGATGATGAAGACAAACCGCTCTCTTAAATTATCTCAGGTCATGGCATGCGGATTTAAAAGTTGGATGACCAACAGAATCTATATAAGCCCTCTAATTTAATGAAGGTCACAACCAAAAGTTGGTCAAAAAATGATAAGGCAAGGGATTTACAGCATACACTTACTACACCAAAAGGTTGACCTATTAAAATTTTCATCAACACCATGCTTTAAAGCACGTCTGTGAATCATGAAACACGGTCCCTAAAGACGGGTGAGTACTTTTCGAGAGATTCTATGTTTAGATAGTGTCACGAGGAAATCTGCAAGCTTACAATGAAATGTGAGGAGAGGGTGGTGTCGCTGTTTCAATATAATATGTATATAAATGCACCCAAAGGCGGATGTTAAATGCCGGGCCCAAATACAGAAACATGAATCCGTCATGATTTTTAAAAAATAAATTTTTGTTTGGTTGCTGGCTTACAGGAGCAAAGTTTCCTGTACATCGGTAAATTAATGAATGAGCTTGAATTTGTTTCACGTTAACCAAAAGTGAACAAGCTAAAGATCTACAATAGATTAGGTCTATAGTATAGTAATCTTGTCTGTAGATTGCTCATTTTGAGATAGCAACACTACCCTGCACCCAAATTTTAGTGTAACTTCGCAGGTTTCTTCCCAAAAACGTTTAAACCTCGCGGAAGCTTCGAAAAGTACTCGCCTGTCTGTTGGACCGTGTTTCATAGTTGTCCGTTAAAGTGGGGTATTGATGAACATAGGTCAACTTTTTATGTTAGGGTGCCAGCTGTAAATCAAACCCCCGCCATCCCCCCCTTTTATTTGGTGAAAATCACTCTAGGCTAACTTCAAAGAAAATGTGTCGGAACCTTAGTTTGCAGTGCTTTTCATCTTCTGTTACCTATGTTTCCTTATGCGCGACGCAACGTTTAGTCGCGTGCGATAGTCGCTAGTGATTAGTTGAGAGGTGTGTATCCTTATGCGCTACCATATCGCTCCAAAATTTTCTGTCGTGTGCAACAAAAGCGATGAAACTCTTAATGCACAACGCGACATTCAGCCGCGCGCGACTGGCAGTTCACAGAAGATAGACAGTGGCAAATTTTAATGTCAAGATGGACAAGGAAGTACAAAGTCCGTCAAAAGGGAGTTCTACGAGCCGCTGAAATTTAGAATTCTGTACATGGCCAATCCCATGTATCTCCTCCTCCTCCTCCTCCTCCTCCTAGTCCTTTGAAAAAAAAACCCCAACAAGATTAGATTCACAAAACTTGCATTGGGTCGAATTGAAGATGTACATCCTATACACACACACACACACACACACTACCACCACCACCACACCACACATGGCGTGTCGACCGGGACTCCTTGGCTAAGTATTTTGACCAATAGTGATGCTGTAAACTTGTCACACCCCCAGTCTGTCGCACCCGAAGAGACCCTCAATCGCTACCTTGACCGATCGCAGGCGACAGTGGCATGCGACTTGACGTCGCGTAGCGTGTCAGGAGACGGTTTCTTTATAATGTCACTTGATTTATTTTAGAGTGGCAAGGACCACAAGGGATGAGAGGCGCATAAGGAGACAAGCTCTAACGGCATCGAGGGGAGATGCAGTTTTGTAATAGTAGGCCGACTGTGTAGCTCTTTGCATTGGGATGGTAGTTTTTCAGGGTTGTCGGGGGTGGTTGGCTTTGTTACTTTCGTAACACTCAGGTGACCAAACAAATAGACTCTGTTGTTGTATGAAATTCAGGCAGGATTCTGTGCCAATAGGTGCTCTTATTGCTTCTTTTTTTTTTTTTGCCTGTCTTTTCTTGGGGTGTTTAAGGTTTTGCAAAGGCATTTCATCTCGCATGCAGTTATTTTGCTTGCATGGGTTTTACTTAATGTCCAGGTGTGGCACTGGTAGCCTAATGTTGTTTCAAGTTATGCTATCTCTTTGTGTCCGTGGAGATATATAATTTGGAAGAGATAAAAGGGGTGCGAGCTGATAGATAACAGTGTTATCCTTATTAATTAATGGACTTACAGATATTCTGTTAGTCTCCCAACTTTTAAGATCCGCACTCAAGGACATGAGAAGATAAAACTATATGTTTGTACCTTGTTTCAACCGCAACTGAACTTAGTGTAAATTTAAAAACAAAATTTCTCCAGACTATATAGTGTGTCAGTCTCTGTAGATGTAGTTGTCCGTCCTCGGACCAATGACGGAGGCAGTCCTTACAAAATAAAAACTTCCTCACGCCTTGAGGTAAGAGGGCCGATAATTGGCGGAGCCAGACATTTTGCCGGCAGGCCAAAGTGGCGCGGTTACTTTGAAGTTTCTCTAGGCGACAAAGTAGGGTTAAAAAAACATCCTGCCTGAAATCTACAAGACACGGGTGATCAAGCAGTTACCCCGTGGGTCTTGTGTGTTGTGTAGTAGTGTGTGCCTCTGACGTATAGCGGGGCAAATTTACATTACTTTAATGAGGGCTGTGTAACGCAAGACGGGTGGTAGATGGTGTGAAAGCACAAATAATAATAGTGCATTTATAGACGTTCCTTTTCGTAAATAATATTTGTAGAGACATCTACTTTAAAAAGACAAGAAGGCACTCAAGGGAGATCATGTTAGATAGCCTTCTTAAAAATTCGTCTCATCACAAGGCTATCTGCTTGTGCTCCAAGTTCCGCGTTATGATAAAAGGTTGAAGAGAGAAAAGGAATAAGATGTTGTTCCGAGCTAAACAACATTTTAATTAAAATTCTATTGTAGTTCAAAATGCTTTGAGCTTACTGTTTATACCAACCTCGTTTGTAGAAGACGGCTGCTCGACTGCTAATGCTAATGAGAAATGACAATATTTTCTGATGGTCAGCTAAAGCGGGTTGCCTGTACTTAAATGCCTAGTTTGTTGATGTTTTCCTTTTCTTTGTCTTATGTTGTGAATGATTTGTTTCCGTTCAACCCTTTCATGTGTTGCAGGTTTTTACTTTTGGTTTTGTAATGCATGCCGTTTGAAATTGTAGCACCTCTCAGAGAACCGGAGTCATAAATTAGACTAAAGCGGTTTTGAAAGATTTGTTTATAAAGAAGAGAATAAGGGGCACTAACTTCTAAGTAGCTCAGATGGTGTGATGCTGGGTTATGATGCAGGTGTCTGTTGTTTGAATGCCAATTTTTTTAAACTTTAGTTGTTTCTAGAGATCCTTTTTAGTGCTCTGTCCTCTTGGCTACGTCGTATCAGAAGTCTTCTCGCTAGAATAACCGCTTTGAGCACTGAAGTGGGGGGGGGGGGGTTTATTAAACTCATATTATTATGCCTCATCGGAATGGAAGAGAACTGACAGTCTGTTGTATGTTGGTGTGTCATGAAGTTGAAGTCCGCAATTAGTGTGATATAAACAAAAAGGGACAGAAGTCAGCATGATGCGCGCGCGTGTGTGTGTGTGTGTGTGTGTGTGTG